CATCTTAGATTTACTGAGATCTTTAAACATCAGTAGATGCCACTTAGTAAAAATCTGCTCCTTTCACACATTTTAATCACCAAGTTTTCAAAAGTATTCTGCCACTGCTGGCTTGCCCACACTCCTCTTAACTGACCTCTTCTTGCTCTGGCTTTGGGTGTGCAAAAAAAAATCACCAAATATAAAGAGGAGCCTGGAAAAAAGAAAAATCTCTGGAACAGCTAGCAATCCAGTCACTCACTCTAAAAATAAAACAAAAGTAACATCCTTTTCTTTAACCTCCTAAATCTGTAGAAACTTCCAACCTATTCCACAGTTGGGCATCAAGTGGCAATAACTCCTCAAACAAATTGTGCATCTACAGGGCAACTGTAACCTGTAAAACGTCTCTCTGATCTGGAAGTGTCACAACCCTTTGCCAGAAAAGTGACGTGAAGCTGCCGCACATCATGGTCATGATTCCAATTTGCTTCTTCTGAGGAGCAATTTCTCTGCCCCACTTTTGCGAGCTTTCTTTTTCAGAGTCAGCCTGAAGGTTGACACTGTTCTAACAGGGGTTTATTTTGTAAATGGAAAATACAGCACCAGAAGCAGCCAAGAGCCATATTCAGGTTACCACCTGCGTCCGTGCCAGCACCTGCTGTGATCTCCTTAGTTTCACACATCCAGCACACACATCTGGCTCGGCTCCAGGGTGGGACATCTCTGCTCAGCTCTGCAGAAAGCAGCAACCCTGCACGCCAGCCCGGCCCGAGCAGCGCTGAAGCTCTACAGCACCACAGCCAGGGGCAGGGTGCTACCAGAACTGCCACCACAGACTGACTGCATCAACAGACTGCACTGACACTGTTTAACAGGCCTCTTCATGTACATACGAATTGCAGCCTCTAAATACTTCCTATCAGAGGCAGTTAAAGTTTCAGACTCCCAGCTTCAAATGGAGGTGGCCAGGTAAGAGTCAGGTGTGTCTCACGTTGCCATGTTAGTTCTGATCAGTTGTGGAGTCTCCTTTTCTGGGAGACTTTCAAAACCTACCTGGAGATGTTCCTGTGTGACCTGCCTTGGGTGAATCTGCTTTGGCAGGGGCATTGGTAGATTATCTCCAGAGGTCCCTTCCAACCCCTCCCATTCTGTGATTCTGTGATCAGGTTTATACTTTCCAATTAAACCCCTTAGTGGCACCACTTTTTACACTACAGTTTATATTGCAGAGCCACCTCAGAACCAGCCTTTTTTCAACGAAACTAAGGCTGCACTTCAAGGATGCCAGGGGTGTCCAGTCCCCAGGAACCCACCAGAGCTAGTCTGAAGTAAAACCCTGCAAGTAAAGACAGCGTGGGCACTGAGTTATCAGCACCATCCCTTCCTCTGAAGACCCATGGCTATTGTGCATTGGAGAGACAGCTCAAAAGGTTATTTCAGCACCTGAGCAAAAGGGGCTTTACTACAGAGATCCCAAGCATCCACCACTGCTCAAAACAAAGCCAGTCACTTCTTTTTCTTTTTCATTAGCAGCTTGAATTTGCCTACTACACAAGCTGCTTTTTGCTTACTGGAACATGCCAACAGAGATGGAGAGCATTTTAGTGTGTATCAAAGTAAGTGCAAGTGCTCTCTCCTTAAAAGGAAAAACATTTGAAATGGTAGCAGCAATCTTACAGCTCTCACTTGTGTCTGTCAGCCTCTAAAAACAAAGCATCCTGAGGCAAGAAGTTTCACAGCTTAACCAAGAATTTAGCAAAGTTTTCTGTTTTCAAGCTGTGACTTACTAATTGAAGATGCCTGTTGTTCTTTTAATAAAAGAGATAGTGAACAACAACAAATCTCTATTCAGGGTCTCCACAACACACATAATTTTTACAGGCCACTATCATATTCCCCTTCTACCCTTCCTCTGTGAGTCTGAAGTGCCTGCCATTCCACATCCAGGGGGCATTTCATGCCCTCAATCCTCCTCCTCGTTGCCTCCTCTGTACACTTGTGGCTGTGCTCTCTTTCTGAGCCTGGAGAACAGCAGAACTGCAGACACCACGAGCCTGGGGCACGCTAAGCCACCTCAGCACCCACCATTCTGCACGTAACATTTGGATCGTTGTTCTTAGGTGAGTCACTTCACACTTGCCTGTTGAATTTCGTATGCCATTTTCTTGCCTAGTCATTCCATGCCACGGGCTCCTCTCAATGTGAGCCACAGCTGACCCCTGCCTTTGCTACCCAGGAGACCTTCATATCATCAGCACGTGGCTCAGCAGTCACTCCCAGTCACAGGTTCCAGCCCAAATCCCCATCCACTGCTCCTGGTTCTATTGTAACTTATGGCCATCCATTACCTACTGTTACTTTCATCTCTACCAGCCTTATGTGAAGGACCTTATCAAATATCTATCAGAAATCCAAGCAGACTACAGTAATCTACCCTGTCCACATGCTTGTTATCTCCTTCTAAAAACAATTAACATGTTCCAGATTTTCAGCTCTAGCCTCATCTTCTCTGAGTGTTCTTTGTACACTCAGACAATTTATTTGCCTCACAGACTATTTCTTATTTGAAATCTTGTTCCAGGGTTCTCAGCAAAGCCAGGTTTTGCTGTTCCTCTCAAGAGCAGGCCACAGGCATACTCTCAAACCAGTGGGAAAAAAAAATGGCTCTTTTTATGATGCATTCATTGGCACCTCACGCTTTTTTTTTTGCCTGCTAGTGCATTTAATTAAACATGCTAAAACCCAATCCAGATAACTATAATAAAATATAAAAGTACAATAAGAACCCTGCTGATCAGATTCTCTGACAGACCTCAAATGCCTCTCTACAAATTAAATGCACAATCCCCACTTCTGAGGAGAAACTTCATATTGTTTCAGGCCCTATTTGTGTGGCAAATTCTTTTTAAAGGTTGAGTTTGTTTTTCCTAAAGAGTCTGAATGCCCATCAGCATGCAGCACAAATATCACTCAGCTTTCAAAGAGCTTCATAGAATGCAAGAACCATCGAGGAAATGGGAACTGCAGCTTTTGCCGGTTCTGCAGCCCCAGCAACCTTAAACTCAGGTTCAGGAGAGACCCACCAGATAACTGGGGTGATCTGTTTTCTGATAATGAGTTAAGAATAAAGCTCTATTTTGAGTTCAGAGCTGTTTACTACTGCTGACATTTAATCCTTCGGTGTCCTGGGAAAGGAGAAAGAGCAAAGAGAAATGTGTCTTCAGGCACCACCAGGACAGGCTTATTTCTCATGTGGGCAGAACTGGTGACAAGTTCAGCCTATAAAACAGACAATGAAAGGAGCAAAATCTGCCAGTACCTGTATATACACATATACTTGTCCGACTAAACTTGTGAGTTTAAACTTTTATTTTCTAATTTGTTCATTTAATATGTTAACTACAAATATAAATTTCAGGGTTTGGTGAATTTTGGTTTTTTGTCGTTTGCTTGTTTTTGTTTGTTGTTGTTGTTGCAGTGTAGGTTTGGGGGTTTCCCCTTTATTTTTGCTTTTAATTCAAAATATGAGGAGTTTTGTTAGTCTTTTCGTGCTGCTTTTCCCAGCTTCCTACCCTTTTCAAATCTGAAATTCTTCCATGTCTCCTGTACTGGCAAAGTTAAAGACTGACAAAGGAAAAAACACAATAGCTTTCCCTTTTCTAAAATATGTATATAAGCAATTTAAGTGGCTTTGGCTTTGGGTTTGTGTTTTGTTTTTTAACAAAATAAGATAAAAATTCAACCTAAATTTTGACTAAGATTTTTGTTCCAATTTAAATTTTTGATAGTGAAAATGTTTTTCTTATTTTTCTGCTTTTCTTGTTTTTATTTTGGTCAGAAAGCTATTTGTTCTAAAAATTAACTGTAGAGCCAGCAACATGTTACCAGCTCAGGGGACTCTGCTATTCACCCCACTGCCTCGTCATCACTTTTACAGTAAAAACTTCAATCACTATTACAATCACTATACATTAATTTTCAGAATACGGTACTGTTGCCAGAATCTTCAAATATATGCTTCTACAATTAATTTGTTACGCCAATATACACTGAAATATTAAACTTTAAAGCAGAGCACTGTGGGATTCAAAACCTCTTTTAATTGGACAGCCTGTAATTGTAATATCTCTCTGTTCCACATTGGTATTATTCCCTACGTTTCTGCAAAACAATTTTCAACCAGGAAAATCGTTTTAAAGCAGGAAAACAGAATGTTAGAACTTTATCTTTCAAAACTGCTACAGATCACAAAATGCACTTCAAAAGGAAGCCTCATGAAAGCTGACACAATCCCATGGAATGTCTCTGTTTCAACAAAAAGACATTTTTGGAAAACATTCCCTGGCACACTTCCAACCAGCTCACATTACAAAACTTGATGTATACTCTGACAGTGATAGTAGCACATACAGTTGTATTCTGAACACCTTTTTTTTTTCCTCCAGGCAATGTTGTGTCACGTTACTCAGAGTAAGAGAAATGACAGCAAGAAGTCTAGCTCGTGGAAAGTGCAAGTATATTTTCCAGTGTGGATTCTGAAAGGTGGTGTGAAAGACTGATAAAATACAAAAGGGGAAAAAATTTGCTGACAAACTAGAAAGATCTTTTCACCCTACAGAGCTTCCAGCTGCTCTACCAGAATGGAACAGTGCATTTATTAGTTGTTACTCCATAAGAACTCCTGCAGGACATGCTCTGGTGGGGAAGCAGGAAGGCACCTCCATCCTGCTTGCTAACTGAGCTTTCAAGGGTAAGATCTCTCTACAGACCAAGAGCTGTCTGTGTCTAGTAAAAGAGGTGGACTCTACAAAGTAGCCCTGCAAGAAAATTTTCCACTATATTTAGCACACATACCTGACACCCAGCATTGACAACCTTTTACTTTAGCAAAACCCTTGCTCAATCAAGCACCAAGTTCACTATGAAGGAGAAACAACGATGACAGTATCTCAGAACCTTCTGAAGGACATGAAGTTACCTTTTTCACCATTAGGGGAAATGCTTACTTGTAACTTTACCTTTCTACAACATCCTCTCCGTTCCAGCAGGTTGAGCTGTCTCTCATCACCAGGTCTCCATCACAAAGCCTTTCTGCTATAGAGGCATAAAAGGTTCGGGATCGCTTCATGTAATTGATGAACTCTCTGTAACGTAAGAAGAACACATTTAACAACACAACAGTGCACTCAGGGTTGAAGGCCCCTGTCAGCTCAACCCACCACAAGGTTAGGAGTTTAGAACCCTTGCAGAGATTAAGTCATCCAAGTTGATTAATTTCTATTTCTGGTGTATTTCTACTCCTACGTAACACCCAGTCTCACTTAGTCCAGTGTTAATACACATAATGACATACAAAGGGTGGTTTTAACAATTACCTTAATGCACTCACACAAAATTTGAAAAAAGCCTACACCTACAATCTCTGTATAAGTGGATTAAAAAAAATAATTAGAAAGCATCATTAAAATAGTGTGCTTTTTGTCTGTCACTGTAATTTAATATTTCTCCCTTTCCTGCACATGTATGAGATTAAGAACATTGTCAACAATCTCTGGGTGGAAAAGGCTTCCTAAAGTTTACAACCCATCACAAACCCTGCAATTTGCTCTAAGTACCCTACACATGCAATAACAGTGCAGAAAGTCATCTCAAGGAGATGTGGTGGAGCCAGTTTCTCCCCATCACCAGTATCCATGTCACATTCCTGTTAGAAATTTCTCTCTCATTGTGTCTGGCACCTCCCCTGTTAAGAGGAGGCTGTGCCTGCTGCTTTAGTGAAGAACCAAAACTCCTGGCCAGTACAAACAGCTCAGTTCTGATCCTGTGCACAGGGAAAAATGCCTTGTGGGCAACCTGCTGCCTCTTTTATAATCTGATTATGACTGTAACACACGTAAGTGGCTGAGGCAGCCGTAATAATGATCTGTAACAAAACAAGTGTTAATTCAACACATAATTGAGAGAATTTCAGAATGAGAAATTACCCTGTCTCCACAGCTTTAGAAGCTCCCATTTGGTATAAGAAGTTAAAGATACTGAAAACAAGATGCAGGACACAAAAGGTGAGCTAGAGCTCTCCTGGTTGTCTCAAGCTGTCTGCTTGTCTCAGAAGTCCCTCCACAGGCCTGTTGTGGAGGCCGAAGGGTTGTTCTGGTTTATGGTGTTTCTGCCTGGCAGGCTGTGAGGGGACACAGCTCTGAAGCAGTGCCTGGGGACACAGGTGGATGGAGCTGGGCACAAAACCAGTCAGGATTTATTGTTCTTTGGGGAGCAATGGGTGCTCTGAAAACGCCGAAGTCCATTGCTAGGTATCCACCCCTAGAAGGTTTAGGCAGTGGTCAAATCTCCCCACAGATGTCTCCATGCTTTCTCTAAAATGCTAAATCATCCCTTTTACCTTATGTGTGATGAAATCCTGACAAATACGATAAACCAGTCATCACATGGTCCTAAGGAACTGACTTACCCCAACAATGCAGGAGAGCTGTCATTTTAAGCAAAGGAAAAAAGCAAATTTTGGGGCTTACAATGAGGGAATCAGTATTTCTACCTCTTGACTACTAACTTAACAAATATGAGCTCTAAGTATTTATACAGCAAAGTCAGGCCCAGACAGAAAGCCACCTACCTGACAGAACAGCCAGAGTATCAGTTCTGAAAGGTGACACAGATGCTACAGATATTAGGGCTGTAAATTGGAGTTTTCTTTCAATGAAGAAAAGTGTGTCCTTTTAGGAGTCTACAGCTTGTCTTACTAAGCTCATCCCAAGAGGCTTAAACACCTTTGCATTTTCAGCAGAGTGGGGCTCTGGCATTTCAAAGTAGCATCTTAGCAAAGCCAGAAAAATCTGTGTCCAACTCTTAATTTTAACAAGTGAAAACACTGACTTTTCATCAGCAGAAAACTAAGCACGTTATGTGAAAATGGCTGAGTTCCTCAGTGCCCCAGAGTATAGAAGTGTGCCGATTCCTAGATTACAGCTGAAACAGCAGCTTACAATGGAGAGATGGAGCTAAGTGGAGAGACAAAAATGCCACCTTGTTTTCATTCTTACCGAGAGATTTTTTTCAAACTTCTTGATTTGTCACTCTTTGAAGCTTTCAGAGGCAGAGAACTGGAATAGGCCGGGGAGAATAAGCATCAATCAGGAGAGGTTGGGGAGGAGGGGACAAGCAGGAATTCAGGCAAATGAGGAAAAGAAATGAGAAACAAAAGAGAAAAGTAAAAATTAATTGAAAGAAAGTTCATCAAGCACATGCACAGGATAATATAAGAAAACAAATAAGGAGGAAAATTGTCATGAGATTTTTCCACAGTATAGATGCAATTAAAAATGTCAATGCAATACTGAAAAAAAAAGGTACAACTGAGACTGTTTCTCCCAATCATTTTCAAATAAGATTGCAATTACAAACAGCACACAGAGCAAAAAGCTGAAAATAAATTCAGCGGTGCTTAAATTAACTATAACTGATACCACATGGAAGAACTGTAAATATATCAGGCTACACAAGAAAACAATGGCAAACGGTTTAGAACAAGCACCATGGGAAGAGGGACACAAAGGAGCAGCATTCATTTTCTGGTACAATAAGCAATTTGCTGTCTTTTAATAAATAATGTGAATGATGTTGATATTTTTTGCTGTTCAGTTCTGTTCAGATTGCATCACTGAAAAAAAACCAAAACCCTGGCTTTGCAAAACAGGAGAGATGGACTCTAAGGTTATACTGGAGGAGAATGTGTGGAAATTACTCTGGTAGTTAATCGTTGAAATGCGTTTTGTGGACCTAATATCCCAAAGTTCCTTAATTAACATTAAACATTACATTTAACATTAACATCATGATTTCCACTTGCATAACTTGATACCCCATTCTGCTCTTCCTTATACCCTTATACTCTTATGTATAAAGCAATGGTAAGAGCTGAGGTAACACAGGCCTGCACACAGGGTCAAGGATCCTTGCCAACTCGAAGAACTCTCACTGGAGAGAGCGAGCACCACCTCCAGCAGCTCTGAGGGCAACCAGAGGACGGTGGCTTGGCCACTGTGCCCTCTGGGAGCTAACAGCAGTGCTGGCTGCAGGAGAGGACCTGGGCTGGTCGATAGGTGAGTCTCACCTGTCATCCCTGAAGCTGTGATCCCAACACAAGCAGTCAAAAAAGAAAATGAGAATTTGTGACAGAGAAAATCTGGACCTGCTGAAACTTCTGCCTTAGCCAGGCATTCAGAAATGTTTGATTTGTTTCCACAGTAAGCGATTTGGCATCTGGCATTAATAATCTGTTTTGCACTAGCGGTTTAATACTCAAATTTTAATGATATCCTGGGATGCCTGACTCAATAGATAGTTAATTTTAAATAAAATAGATGCCATTGACTTCAAACATTCCTCAAAAAACTCCAAGTTGTTTATTTTAAGATGTATAAAAGATCCCTAAGTCCACAGAATAACAATGAAATCCCAACAAAATATCCTTTCAAAGCCTGCCTCCTCCAATTAGGGACCGAGAATCACGTTATAGATCTTTGTTAAACATAACATATTTTTATATACAGATCTGTAACCAGTCTGTGTTTAGTGGTTTGAAATATTACAAAAGGGACGCTTAAATAAGTATTACAAAAATACCTCTAAAAGGCAGGTATTCAACTTTGCTAGAGCCCAGACCCTGACCAGAACAGCACTTTGTGCTGAACTCAGCAGTAACATTCCAATTCACTGATTCTGTACATGCCATGTACATTCCCCCGACCATCATATGGTTTCCATTTTCTTGTCATCTCTACTACACGTTACAGTAACCTCCATATTAAAAAATGACTGCAGCAGCAATCCTGCCACTTTCAGTTCATCCCTGTATTCGACTGGGTAATGCAAAAAAAAAAAAAAAAAAAAATCAAATTACTAATAAAATCTATACTTTTCAGCTTCATCAGAGGAAAAGTTTTCCTACAAGGCTGTAGAAGGTTTATTCAAGTTTTAACTTCTTACACTATTGTCCCCAACACTTGGTATTGCGTAACAAAAATTATGCAGGAATGGAATGCAGCAGAAAGTAAAGATGGGAAATCTCCCAGGAGCCCAGGAGAGTCAGAGTAGCAGAAAAGGGCTCAGCTGCATGGAAGGGGATCCACATGCAGTCAGAGCCCACGCAGGACCACGCTGTGCAGAAGAGCAGAGGGTGATAAGGAGTGCCTCCAGCCAGGCTCAGAAAACCACATGCCCAGAAGAAAGACCAGGCAGGCAAAGAGACATCAACCAAATAGTCCCACTTTCCACTGCACAAGCAGCCTTGGCTCTGCTGAACAGCTGAAACTGGCAGTTCTCAAACTCTTTGAAAAAGGAGCTTGATCTTGTTACTGGCCTTGCAAACAAATGTATATATGTAGGTATAAGCTGTTTGGCTCTAGGTTTTTGAGGGCATCTCAAAGCAAGTGTTACAGAAGAGGTAAGAGGCCACTTTATTGTGGTTTCTCCTACAGATGTGCTAACCAGACTGTTCACATTCTTTTCTTTGAGCTCGGGAATATTCTGGCACATTAAGGCAATGAGCCACAGCTCTTCTGTTCACCTAGGGAGTGCTGGCACATTCCTTCTCTTTTTCTTTCCTTATTCTAAAAGGCAGGTGTCATGTTCTAAACCCTTCCCTTGAATTAAGGATCATATGGAGGGACATCTGCTACACAGAGCGACAGACCCAGTCCAGCCAGCTCCCTGTGGCCCTGCACCTCAGCTGACAGACAGCTGACAATATCGCTCTTCAGTTTTTACATGGCTGGCAGGAATGGTGCCAAGAAGCTCCACATAATTACTCCACAATCCAGATACCCTGTCTAGATTGTGTCCCCAGCTATCTGTCACTCCAAGCACATTTTACACAACCCACTGCAGGAATGATTTCACCCATCCATTATAAAATTGTATTATCTAAAATTGCTTTTTATTGCTATCCCGTGTGATTAAATGATAGATGATTAACACCACAGGGATGTGGCCAATCACTGTGCAGCTCTCTCCGTTCACTGTCTCACCATCGCCCCCAGGAAGCACAGCATCAGCCCCGTGCCACGGGCTTTAGAGGCAGTTCTGGAAAATCCAGAAATAGTCTCCACTTCTTACTCATTATGGCACGGCTCCATCATTCATTTTTGATGTATAGGCTCTCCACAATACCTATCAACACTGTAACAAATTCAATAATGGGTTATGCTAATTATGCAAGGATGGCCTTAGTTTAGATTATTTTTTGATAAATTAATTTTCAGTGTGCAGACCAATTTTGGGAAACTGCCTAATTTACAGTATATTGGTTTGAGTAGATTTTCTTTTCCATCTACAGGTCTTATGTTTTAAAAAGTCAACAACCAAATAATTCTAGATGGTTGGGAAAGGGAAGGAGCTGATCCTCAGGTGAGAAAGAATGGCTGTTGTGCCTTTAAAGACATGAATATGCATCTGTTTGAAAGGTTACCTGTTTTGTAAAGGTTACCTGATTTGTAATTCTGCCTTTTTGGTTGCCAGCATTGAAGTCCTAGTGAAGTCAATGAGTTCTACAGAAGGTGGCCTAGGGGCTCTGTGTTTTCAAAAGCATATTTCATTAATTGTACTACAACAGTTCTTTGGATGATTACTGCTGAATTTATTAATTTAACTTCCTTAATGCTCTTTTCTCTGATTTACATGGTTAAAATTGATTAGCTCCAAGCACTAGCACTAACTGTTGTGGTTTTGTTTTAAATTACAAAGGGATAAAAATATCTCTATCACTCAAAAAACTTAGCTCGTTGCTCTTACTTCCATCTTTTAAAGCACTGTTTGTTTCATTCATGCAAGCTTAGATGAGATTTAAGATAGAAATGAATAAAAATCTCATCTTCAAGGTGAAGAATCCAGGCTATGGAAATGTTACTGTCGCTGCCTGTCATCCAGCTATCCAGCGCAGAGACAGATGTGGACACCCTGGGCAGGCTGGACACTGCTCTCAGAGAGAGGACTGAGCCCAGCAAAATTCCACTCCCTTTGCTGAGCTTGTTCCAGATTAATCCTGGTGTTACAGGGAACAGCACGTTAGCCAGAAATACATCAGTGTGATTTTATGGTCAGTCAGTTTGATGTCTGCTCCTGTATCATGAGTGGGATTGCAAAGACACCCTTCTCTCCTCACTTAAAATTTACAGAAAACCAACCCAGGAGGTAAATGAGGGAAAGAAAAACGCAGTGATCTGGGAGCGGGGATGTTCATGGCAGGGCCAGTGGCAGTAATTCAGCTGTCTGGTGTCTCAGGTGGCATGCAGCTGAAGAAGAGAAGCCAAGATGGACACAACAAGCCTGAACATAAATGCTCTGGGTCTTGCTCTGTTCTGTAACGAGTCAAGGAGATTGCAAGGGATCTTCTTACTGCTCCCCAGCCCTGAGAAAGGAGGGACTCATTGACTTTGTCAGAGCTATGAACCTTTCCTTTTTACCCCCCTTACTACCTCTGCTCCTGAGTAAGCTCAGATCCATGAAGACTCGGGCAGTTGCGTTTTAAATAGTTTAGACTCAGCTGTGGAAATTTTTCAGACTTTGTGGAGGAAGAGCTTTCATCATTTTCACTGAAAGTTTCTGGAAATAATGACGACCCTGGTGCTAAGTTATGACATCAAATTTGGCCTGTAAAAAAGCTTTGGTTGCAGAGATATACAACATAATAGCACAAAGACACCCATGTAAATATCATGATGGCAGTGCTTGGAGAGCACACAGACAAGGTAACAGAACCACTAACACAGATTGTGAGAGTATGTTTCAAAGTCACTGTTGGTTAAGGTTACCTCCTTTTATTGTTCAGGCTAGCATGAGCCAGGGCGAACGTCTGGGTTTCAGTCACTTCCTTCACTGCCACGATGTTGTCTGACGACAGGTTCCCTTCTTGTTTTTTGGGCTGTCCACACACTTTATCAACCTGTATGAAAGGAGGGGAAAGGAAAATGGGGTTTGAGTGGAAAAAGGGATTTACAATTGCCCAAAGGGCTGCTTGTTCTTTCTGGTCAGCGTTTACTGCAAAGGAAGGTGTCAGGGCAAGAGACAGGATTCTTCTTTATAGGACCTGGAAACTTGTCCCCATGGACTACAGCACACCTGGAAACAGGCTGAAATAGGGACCGACAGAAGTGTTCCCCAAACAAACTTTTTATTAGAAACATAACCCAGTTTGAAGATACACAAATTTCTGTGGAATATCTGCCCTGTATATGGAGAGCAGAATCTGTTATTTGAAAGGGCTTGTAATCAGAATACTCAAGTCTTCCCATTTTTAACTGGACAATGTTCCCTTAAGACAAGGAAAAGTGCAAAATAAGTCAGCATCAACAAATGACTGTAAATAAAGTCTTTTCTTGGGTAAAAGAGAGTGAAAAGAGAATTTCCAGCTCTGGGAATCATCAGTGCCTTGGAACCTGGGTTTGGAACAGTAACACTGCTCAGCCATTTGCCCTCCACGCCCTTCCTGAAGCCTCTCCAGGGGATTGTATGACAGGCTGGGAGAAAGCGAGGTCATGCCTCTCCTGTGTGCTGTGGACCTGACACTGCTCCTGCATCCTGACACGTTTATTTGCTTTAACAGCCTGAAGTGACAATAGCAAGACAAACCTCTTCCCTTTCTAATCCACAAATAAGTAATCTGTGATGTTTTCACCTACACTGAAGTCCTCAAGCAAATATGAAAGGAAGACCAGGGAAATCCTGCTGTGGTCATGGTCCTACAGAGGCTTTAAAGGCACGGAATCCGTCCTCCCTCGCAGCACCGCATCTGTTGGTCCTTCTTCAGGTTTCCATTAGAACCAGGGTGAGATGGGGTCTTGCTGGTCTGTGCATTTTACTGCATCTTTGAAACTCTTAATGAGTCTCAGCTGCCTGTCTGTTGAATATTTCAGACCACAGATGGCTTCTAGTCATTTTCTCTGCCCCTCTGCACTGCTTTCGTATACATCAGAACAAGCACAGGACAATTTTCTCTACCTCAGCCCATTTCCTCCAGGAAAACTACTGCTATGGAAAGTTAAGGCATTTTCCTCTGGAAAAATAGGCCCTCCAGCATCAGCTTCAGCTGTATGAGCTGCAGCCTGGTCTGGTAAAGTCTGCTGTGAAGAACCTGAAACTGTAGCAATGGCATGAGAACACCCTGGATTAGCCCTGACATCTCCAGCAGGGAGAGCAGGACCCAGCTGCCTCCCTTAACACCACACGCTGTTTGTAGTTCTGGTCTCACCAGGGACTGGCACAGCATTGTTTTAAAACACAACTTTGTGAAATAAAATCATCTATTTCAGTCCCTTCCCAACTTCTGAAAACAAAACAAAACAAACACTCTAAGCAATTGAAAATAGAAACCAAAAATGCCTTCTGAGCCGTTTGGACCTGGGCAGAGGGTGTTACACAGCCGGACCACATTCCTGCACAGGATGCTCCCTCTCCTGTGCCCCAGGTTTCCCAGGTCTCCTACAACACACAGACCAAATTCCCAGCACAGGTTTCTGCAAAATCCGTCCTGGATGACATGTCATAAAAGTTCACGTCTTCCAATCCCATACACCTCAAATCTAGTCACTGAGGATTTAAGACAGTTTTAACAACTGGCAACAGAATGTCTTGGAAAACCAGCGTGGTTCTCTCGTCCCTAAGCAATGAAGAAATCCAAGGGTTTTGTTTATCCAGTGAGAGGTTTCAGAAAGATTTAGAGTCATCATTTCTGTTGCGAATCAATAGTTTAAGCATCCAAATGAAAATACTCACTTTGGTTTGATTTTTATTTTCTTACCATAGAAATAAAATGACTCTTTAAATTGCAGAGGTTTCAGTATTTTTTGTGCCAAACCTTAACTTTGGGGTTTTCTTTTTAACCAGTAAAAACAGTTCCCTGCATATCAAACAAAGCCACAGTACTTTAAGGAAAAACTACTTCTCAGTGCAAAATTTTAACCAGTTCTACCCTATTCAAAATAAAGTAATTCATGAAATGACAGGCAAATCACATTCACGCTTTTTAGTGCCTTTCTTCTCATTACTGGAAAATAAATGAATAAAAAACATCTAGTGTGAGGCAGTCCCTGTCAAACAGCATCTGACACTCAAGGGAACTAAAACTGATGGGATCTGGTGCAGAGGCACCAGTGCTCATGAACCCCCTTTTCTTCTCACCCCTTCCAGTATGAACTTTCTTTAACATTAACATGCAGCACCAGAGTTCCTTCACTCCCGGCCTCTTCTAGGCAGCAAGAACAGAGGATTTCACCCCACCAGTGCTCCGAGGTGTGTACTCGTGGTCTGAAAACTTATGCCTGTGAGTATGGGTGTGCCTCACACTTCTGTCTGCAAAGACCAAACTCCCTCTCAAGAGATCATCTCCCACGACTCCTCAGCTATCCTTGTTTTCATATTTGTTTCACATTTTGAATGAGTTAAAAACCAGATTTTTAATTATTTTTTTTCCCTGTGGACTAATTTTGACCTCTTCCTGAAATGTGCATTTTCCTGCAAAATGAAATAAGAGAAAAGGTTGAATTTTACTAACCAATTTTGGCAGTCAGAGTTGACTTGGCATGAATGAGAACACACATGTCCAGAAAACCATCTTAAAATTCCAGCTAGGGCATTTATGAAACATGAGTTAATGCCATGTAAACTAAAATGTACAAAGCATGCCATTAACAAAAAAAAAAAAAAAAAAAAAAAAAAAAAAAAAAAAAAAAAAAAAAGATTTTTTTTTAGTAAAGTGTTTTCTGGAACTGCAACACCTGGAATCCACTACTAAAAATTACCTGTGAACAACAGTAAGGAACAGGGAGAGTCTCCTTTCCACCCTAAGGGCACCAGGCAACTGCACTGTTGGTTCAATGCAGAGCTCAGGAATCAAGTCTCACCACCCAAACAGTGCTACTAAAAATGGTAACTGGAATTTTAAAAATCTATTTCCTCGTATGTGTGACTTACTGCTACCAAGTTATCTCTTAAACTGGAAGTGTAGAGTAAGTGATTTTATTTATTTTTAAACAGAAGCTAACATTACTCTACCAACATTGGATATTAGAATATGACACGGTAAGAAAAAATATCAAATAGTACGAAAAGCAAGAGAACTGCAGAACATTAACTGCACAGAACTGGTGACTTCTTTGATAAAATTTAATAAAAATTGGTAAAAACAGAAAATAGATTGCTCTTTTTCTTAAGTCAATTTTTAGTACTCAGATAATCAGGAATAAGCATAAAGAATGACTAAGCTAATTTATTGCTTTGGTTTTTAAACGTACCAATAAGCCTGTCAATCTTAAATTAGATAGCAGATCATCCCTGTTTACCTATAACAAAACTAAGGTCCTTCCTCTTGTATCGCTGATGATATTAATCAAATCTGCCTTCTAACAGGGAACACCTATAGCTGAAACCAGCGTTTCTCATATCTTGTTACCTTCTGAATTATCAATAATGCTTCACATTCTACATATTTTTTTTGGTTAAAGCTTTTTGACTTATACACCAAGGATTCTTCTTCAGTATCTTATCTTTCGAACAACCACAACTACATTTGTTCTCCTGTGAACGTTCCTTTGTAACGAAACACTAAGTCACATCTATACAGACCATCTGACCTCTTACTATTTGTTCTTTAAAAGAATGACCATTTACAATTATTGCAGAGGCTTAACAAAATAAATTGAAAAAATCTCATCCAGAATCTTTTGAACTCTTGCAGCTTGAACAACCTTAAACACTGAGGTTGTATTTAATACACCTAATATAATCAAACAAGGGAAAAATGTCATGCCCTTCTGGATACCAAAAGAATCTTATATCTCTAAAGCAGGAAAGCCTTCCACTAGTCCAGAACAGCTGTTTTCTTTGATTCTGCAACAAGAAGCTTAGTATTTTAAAAAACAAGATTCTTCTAGTGACTGGGTTTTGAGTTATTAAAATACTGACACATCTTCCAGCAGACTTCCACCCCCTCACCTCCTGTAACCCAGTTCAGCTCCACAAAAACCCAGCATCTGGGTGAACCCCTGTGACCAACTGCACCCCTCAGCCCTGATCCCTGATGGCTGTGCAGGAACACACGTCCCACGGACACATTCCCAGTCAAAGTGGAGTTTGCTGATTAAAGCTGCAAACTGAAGTGAAGGCAATAAGAAATAGAGAATTACAGGGAAATCAGGTTTGAGTGTTCAGACGTGCATGTTCACCATGAGATCCAGTCACCTATTACTGTAGTATGGTTGCAAAATGCTCATTTTCTGTGCTCAAAAGATGAGTGGGAGCAGATCTGACAAAACGTAAGCCAGGGCTTTCTGCCCACTGTCACTGGCTATGGCTTACTGAACAAGATCTTGCGCTCAGTGAAGACAGAATAAGAAAGATCATTAGAAGGGAGCAAATAACTTTTGACTTTGTAGCCTTCTAGACATCCTCTTTTACAGCGTATGTTACCTATTACAAAAGAAGCATTTTGCTGGTATCAAAGTTCAGCAACAGATAAACTATGGAATTATTAGTTCATTTTCCTACAGGAATATGTTGCATTTCACTTGAGAGGCGAGCATTCTCCTCCCTCTCTCATCTTCATAGTTTGAACTAGATAGTTTAATGTAGATTAATTTCCTACAAATATCCTAAAGACTGGCAGTTAGAGAAGTTGAACATTACTAGGTACTAGAGATTGCTCCAAGGAGAGCAGCACTATGAACTCCACCGGGACAGAAAAGCCCTCTGCCAGAGCTGACACTTAGATGTCAAAGAATTCAGCCACAGAATTTAAATCTGTAAGAAGTGATGCTCTGCATGTCTCCTGCTGCCTCTGGAAATACCTGGCTTTAATCAAGTGATATGGATTGCAGTAATGTTTGTAGGTTGTTTTGGAATCAACATACAAATGTGCCAGAAAGAACAGCCCTGTAAAAGAAAAAGCTC